AAAGTCCAGTATCCCCGGGCAATTCCGTCCGCTTATTATTACTCACAAGTCTCTATAATTCGCGGAGGTGGAGGCAACGACTCGCTTCGCTCCCCCCCAAAAAAGGGAGCAAAGGCATTTGGGAGACGGAGGTTCCCGGACTCCGGAGGAGCACCCAATTTTCGCTCTCCCTAAGTTAAGGGAGAGCTTTTGGGGCTCTCAAAGCAGGTAATCTTGAGGCCAAGCTGTTTAACTTTTTTTTGCATTCCTTCTTTAAGTTTATAACCATTATCTTCTACATTTAATAGTCTAAGCTAGGATGTCTGAATAAAATACATGTATTTTGCCTCCAGAAAATAAGATGGTCTTGATGGAGATAACACAGGAACTATTGTTTAGCCAAAAAGATGTATTTTTAAATCCAAAATAGCCAGATAACATTTGGAAGCATCTCACACAGAAACTGCCCCAATTCATCAAACTATAAGGAAGAGAGGTACAGCACAATCAGATTTGCAAGATTCCATGGGTATTTTTTTTAAAAAACAGAGTATTTTTAACAGTTGCAGATGCATATTTGTTCTGAAAACTCATCTATCCGTAAAGAAACAACAAAGGTAAACTGGGGGTGACAGACAAAATCCTAAGACCATAAATGAGATAGTGAGGTAAAGAAACTCATAAGTTCATGTTCTACTAAATTTGTATTTTGTGAATGGCCATGCCCACAGTAACAGCCATTCTGTGAAACATCCTCACCTTCATTTTAAAAGTGCCATCAAAAATGTTGATGGTCCTAGCTACAAAACGTCAATTGCTCACCAGCTTTTTGTTCTTTCACCAGGTGCTCTACAGGGAGACGAACTGAATCATGTTCAATGCAAGATATAATAATATGTGGAAGTGTCCCTAAAGTCTTTTCTTCGTGGTTTTCTCTTGTTGCAACAATACTTTGTTTGCTGCTTTTCATAAAATCCTTCACTGCAGTATGAATCACTAAGTTATTTGCCTGGAGAAAAAGAAAGAAAGAAGTACAAATCAGATCAAAAAAATCATNAATAGTGTTAACAACATCAAATATCTTACTTCTGTCCCTCCAGAAGTGAAAATAATGTCCTGGAACCGTCCTCCCACCATTTTAGCCAGACTTTCACGAGCTTCATTTATGATCTTCTTTGCTCTTTGACCTGTGGAGGCAAGACATAAAAATGTATCATATAAGGTAGATCCTGGGGTTTTTGTTCCTCACACTAAAGGCATGTGCATTTTAATTATGGGCTTTTCTCCCAACTAAACATTGTACAGAGATGTCCTGGCAACACCACTTTTCAGTCCTGTACCCATGAAATTATCTTCATTTTATTTCCCAGTCCGCAAATGAGACAGGCTTAAGCCATCCTTTGTTCTACTAATGTTAAAATGGCATTTTCCTCCTTAAATAAACAACACTCAACACTAGCAACAAGGTGTGCTAAAATGCTACTTCTCTTCCCACTGTTTTGGGCAAAACATAAATTACAGCTCTGAAAGTTATCCAACCACTATTGCCCCAAAACAGTATTAATGAGGCTAGGTTTTATAACATCCCAATTATGGCTACAAAATGTTAAGAACACATAGCTAATTTTGTAAAGGCGGCTGCTTTGAACTGTAAATCCCAGGTGGGGCTGATGGTTTGACTAATTTTACACACTTTTTAAAATTTATTTTATTGCTTTTTAATAACATATAAAATCTGAATGTTTGCTGTTTAATTATATGTACATAAACATGCAACACTGCATGCTATCCTACCATCTTTTCCAATCAGCTTGCCCATGCATCATTTTTTAAACAATGAAAAAAATGCAGTTATATGTGTATGTACATATAATTTAACAGCAAACATTCAGATATAAATGTTACTAGGGCTATCTCTACTTTCCATAGTTACTACTAGAAGTGACTGGAGGCTGTAATGATTCATCATTCAATGTTTTTTTTATAAACCTTTAACTGCTACTCCAATCACCCTTCAAGATTAGAATCCCCTTTACCACTAGACATGCTTATATCCCAAAAAGATGTATTCACAAAACACTTCCATATAATCTTGATCAGACCTGCTTCATAAGAACTGCTAGGATTGCCCCATGCTTCATACATGGCTTCTTTAACTGTCTCAATCACTTCTGGTGCCAGAGGAGTGGTTGCATTGTAATCCATATAAATTTTCCTATAGGAAATAGAATGGAAAAATGGTTATCAACAGAAAGAGGAACCGCATAGATTAATATGGTCACCTTCACACAAGGTTGCAGTGTGTATTTTGGAAAATGCTTCTTTGACAAATCTTTTCCATTGCTACCCACTTTTCCAAGCAATGACCCTATTTCACCTCCAAATGCTACAAAATTGTTTTTTAATAATACCTCCTCTGAAAAACTGTCATAAAATTGAGGTGGACTGCCTCATGAAAGCCCTTTGATACATTCATTAATTTTGAAAGCATATTGTATATAGTAATAGTAATTATAATAGTAATAGTAGTAATAGTAGTAGTAGTAATAGTAGTAGTAGTAGTAGTAGTAGTAGTAATAATAATAATAATAATAATAATAATAATAATAATAATAATAATAATAATAATAATAATAATAATAATAATAATAATAAAGTTGGAAGGGACCTTGGAGGTCATTGAGTCCAACCCCCTGCTTAGGCAGGAAATCCTACACCATTTCGGACAAATGGCTGTCCAGTCTCTTCTTAAAAACTTCCAGTGTTGGAGCATTCACCGCTTCTGGAGGCAGGTAGTTCCACTGGTTAATTGTTCTAACTGTCAGGAAGTTTCTACTTAGTTCTAAGTTGCTTCTCTCCTTGATTAGTTTCCATCCGTTGCTTCTTGTCCTGCCTTCAGGCGCTTTGGAAAATAGCTTGACTCCCTCTTCTTTGTGGCAGCCCCTGAGATATTGGAACACTGCTATCATGTCCCCCCTCGTCCTTCTCTTCATTAAACTAGACATACCCAATTCCAGCAACCGTTCCTTATATGTTTTAGCGTTGGTCCCCTAATCATCTTTGTTGCTCTTCTCTGTACTCTTTCTAGAGTCTCAGCATCTTTTTTACATCGTGGTGACCAAAACTGGATGCAGTATTCCAAGTGTGGCCTTACCAAGGCATTGTAAAGTGGTATTAATACTAGACATTTGAATTTGGCTAATAATCTGGGTGATCTGAATATTCCAATCCAGGATAATGTTTTTGAAATGAGTTTTGCAATCCCATCCCATGCAAATTCAGTTTAAAATAAGCCCCACTGAGTTCAACAGATTTTATTGTAAAATAAATCATACATGAAACAGCAAGATCTTAGTACTTACATTAAAGGCAAAGACCATAAGTTAGTAACAAATAAATTACATACCTGTTTGATGAGATATTATTTTTTCCATTATAGTTTAATTTCTCATTGGTCTCCGTTCTTTGTTCCACTAGTACTATCTTCAAGGTGGTCTCTTCCATTCTCAGTCAGCCTCCTTGTGAAACAATGACCTGCGCTGAAACAGAAACATGTATCATGTGTCTATCAAGATCACAATTTGTTTCTCTGCAATGCCCTGCCAGCTGCCCAGTTCAGGTACTTGCAAAGAAGGCTAAAAATCCTTAGAAATGCCTGTAAGTAGGCATGTTGGCTTCAGAAGAAAGATGCACAAAAGAATCCAGTGCAGGTAGACAGAATGAAGGGCTATCTTATATGTTTGGCAGTAATTGCTTCTAGGTGACAAGTGACTGGCAAGGAATGGAGCAGAGAGCCTGAACCTAGAGGATCCATGGTCAGGGAAAGGAATCAAGGAGATCCTGAATTTGGTTGCCATTATCTTTTTATAACTTTGCTGTCAGAAAGGCATTAAGATTGCCACAGTTTATTTTCAAAATACTTGTGCCCCCAGGATCCTAGGTTAAATTGACCACTAGGTGCCACCACATGACTGATTTCATCATTATTGGCATGGCTCAGACATAGGTAGCCAGATGTTAATTTAAGAATTTCAAAACTTCTCCCATGAATTGCACTCACTGACCTTCATACTTTTGGTGACTGTATATATATAGTGCAGGGGTGTCAAACTGCCGGCTCGCGGGCCAGTTTCATCATACCAGAGCCGCGCCCACCCCATTGCCGGCAATGGCAAAACAGCTCCGATACGTTGCCGACATCACATGACGTCGCGAGTTTGACATGTCTGATATAGTGCATTAGTTCATCCAGGTCCTAGAGCTTAACATTTTCAGGAAGGAATATACAGAAGCTGGATATATGCAAAATATAAAAGATGGATATATACAATCCATCTTCCCTTATGACCTCAGACTAGAGAGTAATGTGAAATCCTTGGCATACTGTTCTCAGGGAGGGCTGCAAAGAACTATTATATGACAAAATAGAGCCAATATTGGGTTAAGTGAATCAACAGTGAATCATCTGACTCTGTATAAACAGTTGAAAGATGAGATGGCCTCTGAGATTGCAACAGTGAAAAGAATCCGTTATATTAGCAAGTTATATTAGCACATTAGTTCAAGCAGAAGCAGAATATTTTTTTAGGTTTTTAACTAGGTATTAATTTGTATACACAGGTTATTCAAAATCCCTTTGAATCCAGCAATCTTTTTCTGTCAGTGGTAAAACAAACATTTTACGGATACAAGGAAGGTATAAGATTAAGTAGAGTCTCTTCTGTAATATCTCAAGCTCTGTCGCTCTGATTTAGGAGTAGCAGAGTTATAACAACCAATCATTGCTTCATCCTCAGTTTTCTCTCTCTTTTAAAGACATTTAATTTGTAACCATTGACAAAGCTTATGAAAGTAAACTCCATTTTTTAGCCTAGTTTAAGACATGGGAAACTCGTGACTCTCTACATATAATTAAATTATAACTCCCAGCATCCTTCAACACTGGTCATTCTATTGAAAGCTACAGTTCAACAATAACCGTACTGAAATAGGGAACCTATGTAACATTTTAGTTTTGCAGGAAGGGAACTTGTATTGCCTTACTAAAATCAGCTGACATTATTAGTGCAACATTGAATAAGACTAAACAATGAAATCTTGTATAATATACAGAGCACTTAATTCTCATATACTTGATAGTATTGGCAGCAACTTTATATACTATCTTTCCCAATATGCTCACCCAAATCTGTCCAGTTTTCAACTTTTCCATCTTCACTCCTTTCTAATTGCTATCACTCAGCAGTTGCTTCTTAAGAGCATCACCGATTTATCAAAAATAACTTTGGAAATGGTTGCTCCCTAAATGGCTGAGTGGGGTGTAATATGAATCTTTCAATAAACAAGCATCCAAAAAGACACCTATTAATATCTATATCAAAGTTTAGTGCCTGCAGATATGCCGATCTTCAATTTCCTTAATATCCAAATATAAAGAAATGGGTAAATTAGGAAAGAGTTGGATCACAGCAGTAAAAACTATGTTAGCTGATTAAATATTTGACACAACATTCCAATTCCAGTATTCTGTTGTAATTCAGTTTAAGTATCTTTAATTAAAATAATTTAATGTTTTCTTTATCTCCATCTTCTTTCTGTTTTTAAACTCCTCTGTTTTTAATGTCCTCTAGGAGAAAGCTCATACTTTCGGATTCCTTGAGCGCATTATTTAATAGCACTACATTTAATTTAAACTATTAATATATTAATATAAATAACAATCTTACATTAAGTTAAACAAATCTGTACCAAGGTTATCTTTTAAATTTTTAGTTAATCTGATAATAAAGAGAAATTTGCACCAAGCAAAATGATGGCACAATATCAAAAGATAAGAAGATTTTTCTCTCCAGAAAAAAACATAGCGTATCACTGTGTACAATATCCTGCAAAAAAACCCGGAGAGGCCATCAATCACACAACCAAGCGAGCTTCTCACCCGGGTTAAATATCAAAGACTTCAACTAAGCGAGACAATTGTTACACAAACTTCACCACGTAACCCTTGGTTACTGAGGAAAATACTCTAAACCAGGAGTCTTCAAACTTGACCCTTTTATGACTTATGGACTTCAACTTCCAGAATTCCTCAGCTAGCATGTTGAAGTCCACAAGTCATAAAAGGACCAAGTTTGAAGACCTCTGCTCTAAACACAAACCAGTCCATGCCCTCCTACTCAGCCCTAAGCCTACGTGATTGACTGCGATTCCAGCCATTGAAAAATTAAGCCCACACGCAGCAAGAGAAACTCTAAGCTTCTCTGGGAAAAGTGCAAAGAAGAGCAACTAAGATGATTAAAGGCCTGGAGACTAAAACACGTGAAGAACGGTTGCAGGATTTGGGACCGGCCAGTCTAGAGAAAAGAAGGACTAGGAAGGGACATGATAACAGTATACCAATATTTGAGGGGCTGCCACAAAGAGGAGGAGGTCAATTTATTTTCCAATGCACCAGAAGGCAAGACAAGAAACAATGGATGGAAACTAATCAAGGAGAGAAGCAACCTGGAATTAAGGAGAACTTCCTAACAGTGAAGGCAATTAACCAGTGGAACAGCTTGCCTTCAGACACCGTGGGCTCCATCATTGGAGATTTTTAAGACGAGACTGGACAGTCACTTGTCTGAGATGATATAGGCCTATATTATAGGGTCTCCTGCTTTGGCAGGGGGCTGGACTAGAAGACCTCCAAGGTCCCTTCCAGCTAGATTCTGATTCTAAGCACTGACATACAGTATAGTACAGGGGTAGGCAACCTCGGCTCTTTTATGACTCATGGACTTCAACTCCCAGAATTCCTGAGTCAGCATAGCTGACTCAGGAATTCTGGGAGTTGAAGTCCATGAGTCATAAAAGAGCCGAGGTTGCCTACCCCTGGTATAGTAGAAAGAACGTCAGGCGCTTACTCTAGTTCCGCCCTCGTTGGCAAGGTGATGGTGTTCCCAGAGAAGAGCTGATTGGCCAATATTCGAATCTAGTCTTCGATTAACGGCAATTATGCAGGTTCCCTTTGGAGGACCAATCCATTCCCCACCGAAAGCCAATTGGCTAAGAGCCTCCCTGTTTTTGTGAGTCGGCCAATTCTTTCGTCGATGAGGACGGTGCCATCTAATTTTAAATAACCTGCTCCCCCCCCCACGCGATCCCCCTTCTTTTTAACTGTGATGTCGTTTATTAACGCCCCTTGCTAGATGGTGGTTAATTTTTTTTTTAAACTGTGCTGTTATTCAGTCGGTTCTTTTTTCCCGCTAGGAAAAAAAAAAAAACGCGGGCCTGTCAGTTTCCAAAACTTGATAGGCCCTTACCCACGCTTCGTCTCCGCGGCCTAGTCAAAACGAAACGCAAGCTAGCTGTCGATTCCTGGTAGGTTAATACCGTTTCCTCAGCCGCTTCGTAAAAGCCCGCTTGAACCATAGAGACGGCGAGATGGAAGGAATTCCCACGAAAGAAGAGCCGTAATGCCCTTTTTCAAGATGGCGGAGCGGGCTCGCTTTCCCTTTTTACTGCTTTGAGGTCTCGCGGGCTTTCACTAAAAGGATGGTGCGCGGCGCGTGGGCCTGTAAGTGACGCCTTACCGTTTTTTTTTTTTTTTTTTGCCGTTCTGGTAATCCGAAACGGGAAGGGAGGGATGAGGGGAAAGGCGGAGTTGAAGTTCACCGGCCTGGGTTCTGCTGCGGCTGGCCTACCGGGGAAAGAAAGAGCCCGGGCTTCAGATGGCCTGCTGTACGCAAGTGGGCAGAGACTTGACGAGGCCAAGAGGGAGGAGGCCGCTCCACCCCCTTTCCTTATGGGTCCTGTGGCCCTTGGCTTTTTCTACGTAGCATCCTCGTTTGGGAAAAGCCAAGTGAAACGAAATAGCGACAGGGCTCTGCCAAATGGAGAGAAGCTTCTCATTCTCCCTTTGGAAGGACAGCGCTCAGTCACTGACACCCCAGCGAGCAATAAAGAGCATATAGGTATATCTGGAGTTTGCTGACAGTAGGGTAGGTTTAGGTGGCTGGTGGGTTCGTCTAACCTGTTTTGGAAAGGTTCTAGGAGATCGGGCGGTATCAAATTTGAATTAATAATTGTTGTTATTTATGTGTTGCTGCGCAAACGCTGATTGTTAAGTGGTGCCCAAATACTAATGTGTTTATTCTATTCATCCATTACAGTTCTTCCACCCTTCTGTTGTCTTATGTTTTCTTTGGCCACCTGCTCTGCAGACGTGCAACTTTTTTTTTTTTTAAAAAAAATGCAGGCTGCTGGAAATTATGCATCTATAATCTAGTTACACAATTTAAAGTTTGCATTTTGAAGGCTTCGTCCATTATTGCATAGAAATCAAGCATTGTATAGGGGGGTGCCGATTACTCTTCCCTGGGTTTCCATTCTACGATGCTTTTTTCTTCGTGTGTATGAAAAGTGCATTCTGTTTAGGGCAGCATTTCTTTGCACGTGTTTAGGAGAAATTAAAGTATGCAGGATTAATGTTTAAGAATGTGTACAGTACTCCTGGAAATACAAGTTTAGCTTAAATAAGCTTTGCAGCTAAGTCAATTTTTTCCATAGACTACAGTTTTTGAAAAGATGCAGAGAATGTCCACAGAGAATGTCCATTGTGTATAATAAAGAGCATAAATAGTTAAAAGTTGATAGTGCAGAGCAGATTTAATGTAGTTGTGATTAATAACTTGTTATGTTCAGCTGCAAATGGCTCCAAAAATACCTTTAAGAAGAAATGGCTCCAAAAAAATACCTTTGAGAGGATTCTTTCTTACTTGGGAGTATTGCAATTTCCACCAGTGGAAAATATACATTTATTCGTTTAATACATATATTTCCACATTCCAAAGGCTTTTGTGGTATCATAATAGAAAAGCAGGCTAATTGAGAAATAATGGTCAAAACTATTAACTTTAATAAATTATAACCAGAAATATTAAGTATATCCACTAGAAATCTTAAACGCTTCTCTGAATAGGTCAACTTTTAAGGAATTTATAAAGGATAAGAATAATGGAACCACTGAGATTTTTGGTAGGATGGCATTCCACATGGGGTTTCAGTTGCTGAGAAATAAGATGTTCTTATTTTTCCCTAGATCTTATATGGAGAAGGAACCTTCAGCAATACAAATAAAGGTCAGTGTCCTGAATAGGTAGAAGCTATTTTAAGCAGGTGATCTTGAATTATTTTAATTTATATATGCATCCAATTGTCATATGAATCAGGGCATTGTACACAATTGCAGAATATTACAATATAATTATATACAGAGACAACTTCATTGAATCAAAAATAACTTTAAAATAGTTAAGGTGGTAATAAAACATTCTGGCCAATTTCTCTGGGAAAAGTGAAGTCTTAGCCTTTCAAAAACAAGGCAGGGGCAAGACTATCTAAATCTCAGCAGGCATGAAGGCAGAAAAGACATGTCTCCTAGATCCTACCAGATGACACAACTTACGTGATAGGTGCATGCCTAGTTTTTCAGATCTTATTGGATGCTAAGCTGAAGTAGGGTTTTAATTCATTTTGAATTTACCTGATGTTCAAAACTGAGCCCAGTATTATGTATGAAAAGTAGCTCTCACCTGCAAACAAGTAAGCTATTACATTTTGGTCCAGCTGTAGCTTCAGAGTAGTTTTAAAAGGTAGTTCCTGTAGAACAGGGTTCCCCAACCTGTGGGCCGCAGCCCGGTAGTGGGCTGTGGCCCATGGGACAGGCTGGCCACCTTACTGCTGCAGGGTGTGAAAATGGGCTGCCACCATGCTGTGGGGCACAAAAATGGGTGCCGCTGTGGGGCATGGAAATGGCACTGCGTTGTGCAAGAACGGGGCAGGGCTAGTGAGTATCATGTGGGCACTAGCCCTGCCCTGTTTGCATCGTGCGGCCCCGTGCACATACGCATGGGTGTAAAATGCTTCCCCCGTCCCTTTTCCTCTGGTTCGCCAACTGAGAAAGGTTGGTGACCTGCTGTATAACATAATGCAGTTTAATCAGGAGATGGCAGTGACATGGCTTTGTTGCTTTTATTTGTCTTTTAGGTTATATCACTGAGAGTTGTAACAGTGAGATGGGCAGCATGTAAATTTAATAAAATATGCTTTATTGCATAAACATTGTTTTATAAATCTGTATTAATTGTTTGGGGAAATATTAGTTACCTCTGTCAATAGAGGTAATTGAAAATAGAATTATTTCAGTAAATAAAATAATATACTAATGTTTTATTCACTTTAATGAAACAGTTTCATTTCCAGATAGGAGCATATTTATTTTAAAAGTTAATAGTCCTCGCTTACATTCAGTCCCATTTGAAGTTATAATGGTGTTAAAAAACCATTGAAAAAAATAACTTTACAGTCAGTTTATGATCTTTGCAGCATCCCTCAGTCATGTGATCAACATTCCAGACAGTACATATCCTGTGTGGGTGTTTATTTTTCCCCTTGCAAAGTAGAGAGAAAAGGATTGCAAAAGAGTAAGCTGTTTATTCTTCTACACATCAAAGGCAATGCAATTATGCTGGCCACAGGAAAGGGTCAAGCAAAAGAGAGCCTTTTTTCTACCCCACCCCTCTCCCTTTTAGCAGAGTGGAGAAGTCAGTCTTAGGCTGCCAGCGTGATTGCATTGCTTTTGACAGTCAGCAGGCATTTGAGCACTCCAAAGGGTGGGGGAATGGTAAGGAGGCAAACAAAAGCTAAAGGTGTGAAAGTGAGTAGTCTTGTCTCTTCCAGCTGGAGAGCACAGTCATATAGTGTGTGATTTCCCATTTGATTATTGTTTTGCTTAGTGGTGGAGCTGCCAATCCATGTTACAATAGTTAAGGGAGAACAACTTGTATAACATTTTTAAAGTTTTTGAATTAAAATCCTCATTTTCATTGTTGGTGCTATTTCAGCTAACATCTCTCTTCTTTTTCAGCTTTTGATATAGAGTGACTTTAAACAGGAATTATGGCAGCTTTGGATAAAATAAAAGCAAAAAAGACTCTGGGAACTGTCGATTATGTGGAGTCATCTGAGTTTGCACAAGGAATTCTGCCTACAAAGAAGGATGTCATTCAAAACATGTTGTATTTGTTGCATCCAAAAAGGGCTGGTCAAGCACAACGATCCAAAGAAGATGCTGCCCAGTTGCTTGCTGAACTTTTGCAGGAACATTGGTTGTTTTGCAATCTATATACCATAGCAACACAGAGCATCAAGAAGCATATTCTGAATGTATATGAAGAATTCTCAAAGTTATACCAATCCAGAAAACGAAGAAAAAATGAACTGTTTATTCAGAAAGCAGATGATTTCAATAGGAGTTCAGAACAGCTTTTTGATATATTTTGTACAGACACTGTTACACGAGAGAAATTGGAGCAGTACAGTGGTGTTAAGATGACAGATACTGAATGGAAATTCCTTGAAGATCAGAGGAATGAAAGAAAAATGTACTTTGAGGACTTCATGGACAAAAAACAAATGGAAACAATAGAAAGACGAAGAAAGGTTGAATCATTAGAGCATTTTAGGAAAATTGCAGAGGAAGAGAAAGAAGCTCGTAAGCGAAAAGAAATGACTTCAAACAGGGATGAACACCCAGTTGAAGATGTTAATAAGAATAAAGATGACTCCTGTCTTGAATACAACAAAGGAATTGGAGGGTTTTCAGATAAAGCAAAAAGAAAGCGTCTGTCTTCTTGTTGGGTAACTGGGACTGCAACTTCAACCACTTACAATGAATCGGTTCCTTCTGAAAATCAGCATCTACGTATGAATATCAGAAAAGTCAGACCAGGATTCTATGAGACTTTTGACAAATACAAGAACTGCTAGTTTGGTATCTGAACTCTCTGGAGGAGAGAATTAACTTAGATCTTAAAGTACCCAGGTTATTTGGGAGTTGGTGTAGATAATTATGTTGGGCTCCCTTATTGTGCAACAGCAGCACCAAAAGGATTGGTAGAAATAGTCCATGGAAAAGATTAAGATGATAGTCATTTAGTTTTATAGCAATATATTCACAAAGAGAAAGTATTAGTTATGAAAAAACTATATCATTAGCAAAAGAAGTCTGAAGTTCCAATGCTTATAAGCTTAAAAAAATAAAGTAGACATGAACAGGTTACATTCCATGAGAATAATGTATGTATTTCAACAACTGCATAGGAAGATAATGCTTTATCCGTTATGTACAGCATTTAAATCAAACTAAAAACCTTTTGCTAAAAACATAATACGGAGGTCTGAGAAAGAAAAAAGTGAAGAGTAAATTAATTAAATAATGTGTTCTATTCCAGCTCTGCATCTCTGGAGATTGGAAGATCATATCCAATTTATTAACATAAGTAACTAAACATGGCTATTGAAAGGAACAGAATTCATAGTCTGTGTAACATTGGAATATTCAGGATCACAATAAACTGCAAACTCAAACCATGACAACTAAAACTGTGTCCCTTAAGGAAAAATAATAATTGGTCCCAGTGATTCATAAAGTGCTGTTACTTTCTAGGGGAAAAAGAAAACAAATACTTATCTGACCCTAAGAGACATAGTATATATAACTTCCAGTTAATACACTGAGATTCAAATGGTTTTAGGTATTTGCACAAAAAGTAATTGGTTGCTTATTTGACCTAGTAGATAAGTAGTTGCTAAGAGACCCTACACTTTGGCAAACCAATTCTTGTAGATAATTTGATAGCTTGTTGAAAGAAAACAGGAATTTTAAACAATGGCTTTAGATATCGGTGTACTGGTGATAGCTATCATTTTTCTGAATTCTTGGCAATTAAATAACTTGGTTGTAATTATGTCAAAAAATAAAATCTGTAGTTAAAAGTAAGACGTGAAGATGTGTACACACAATATGATAAAATAAGGTGCCTAAAAGTTAAAGAAAAAAGTCTCATAGACTGATAATTTTGACTGTAAACTGTGATGTTTGCAACAACAGAAATATCTAGGTACTTAATCATACCAACTGACTTTGTATTTAAGTTGTTGATTCTTTAAAGTTTTAAAACTTAAAATAGTTTCAAATCTTTACCTTATAATACTAGAGTAGTCCCATGGCGAGATAGACAGCAAATGAATTCAATAATATTTTAATAATAATTCTGCATAAATTAGGTAGATTCATTACACGAGCTGTGGTGGCACAGTGGTTAGAATGCAGTATTGCAGGCTAACTCTGCCCGCAGCCAGGATTCAAACCTGACTGGCTCAAGGTTGACTCAGCCTTCCATCCTTCCGAGGTCGGTAAAATGAGGACCCAGATTGTTGGGGGCAATAGGCTGACATTTGCAAACTGTTCAGAGAGTTGTGTAAAGCACTATGGAGTGATACATAAGTCTAAGTGCTATTGCTATTACATATTTTTGCTTCATTTCACACATCTGAAAGCTTTTTTTCTGTATTTTTAGCATTGTGTTTTCCATTTACTCCTTTATAACAACATGACTACTAAAATAAACAGTACACACATGAATATATGATTTAAAAAGTCCAAAATGGTTTTAATTATGTAATTGTTTTGTAAGAAAAGTATCAATTTGAATACTAAAATAGCAACAAATAATAAGAGCACTGTCAGAATCAAGCATATTGGTTAACTGTGTGCCTCTGGGGAGTCTCCAAATAAGGTGCTGTATGTTGACAATAACCCCTATTACAATTGTTCTTTAGATACTGGAATTCAGAGGCATAAACATCTTGAAAAATGGTAATGGCAAACCACCTGCTTAGAAAACTATGTAGTCCTCAGGAATGAAGCTTGACTCTAAATTCTGGTATTTGGAGCCATATAACTTCTAATTATTCATATTCTGATACTCCAAGAATGTTTTGAATCTTCCTTTAAAATCATCTAAAAAGTGACTTGTTTTGTAAAAATGAATTTATATGATTAAATTAAGTGGTGTATTATGTGGAATAGCTTCTTGAATTTCCCGCCATTCACCTTCACCTGATGATCTCAGATTCTGGTGTTATGAAGAAGAAAACAGAAAATTAGACTTAGTTGAGAAGCTTAGTAAATGGGGGAAATGAGTCATGGGTCTTACTTTTTCTTTGAAAGTCCTAAAGATTAAGGAATATACAAAATAAATCACTTGAGATGTTTTTATATAGGATATAGTATACAAATTTTAGAATAATGGAAACAGAATGAAATCTTGAGAATGGGAAATGTATACCTCCTAGTTTAATTCCTTTATACATGTCTTTTACAGCTAAAGAAAGACGATGCAGTATGTTAACTTTGTATTAAGCTTACTTGAGCAGTACCGTGATCAGCTACAGAATAATCAGTTGCATGACCAAGACAGTTATTCATACAAATGTAAGAAGGCTCTGAATTAAGAGTTTTAATTGTTTTATAAACTGAAGTTTTTTTTCTGGCCAAGAATAAAATTACTTAAAAGCAGCATTCTGAATATTTGCTGTGCTTTTCATCAATATATTAAAGCTTTGTTGTCTTTATGAATATTAAGAGCATCAGCATCTCCCTGACCTAACTTTAATTAGAAGATGCATCTGTTCCATTTGTCAATTTGTTGAAGTTGAAACTGGAGATTGAGCACAATTTTATTCTTTCTCAAACCTTTGCGGTTTTTCCTTTTCTTTTGATTTCTAACTTGCAAATTTGTTTCTAATACTGATTCTGTCACGTGAATAAACATCTCTGATTGCTGCTGTTTCCTGTTTTAGGTCTGATGCACTCTGGAAAAAGAATAAATGCTTATGATATAACAGTCTCTATAATCTACTGTTGCATTGCAGAATAATAATTGATGTCTGTCGCTCACGGAAACGGTGATTGGAAACCAATCCAACCTTTGAGGATACCCTAACCATAATGTTGAGTCAACTACTTAGAAGGCCTGCCTCTTAATCCTACTTTTTTGTCATTATATGGGAATAGAATCAGAAGTTTGATGCTTGGCTTGAATGAATAGAATCTTTGTTGACAAGGCATTTTCTAATGTATCACACACGGTCATATCAATTAAGTTAAAATACATGCAAATTCCCAGTCAGAATTTGCTAACCAATTGGGATTGCAAATATTAATAAGCTCTGATAGCAAATTCACATTGATCCTCAGCAATCATTCAGAATCTGCAGCTGACACAAAATAAGTCCAGCTTTTGGGAACAGGAACTCTCTTGTATTTGTCCAAAGTATGTGTGTACCTATCCATATTTTTCTAAATATGCTCAGAGCATGTACACATGCAATAGAATTCACTAATGCTAACTTGCTTGGGCCAGTTGGCACATTTTCAATTTTGAGATTATGCCCCAGCACTCTTACAAAATAACTATGAGACTTACTCTCCGCCATTCCCTATAGCCCTTATGATGCCCCTTGCTACCTTAGTTTGCTTTTAGGTTTTTTGGGGTGCACATGCATACTTTATAGCTCAGGGTTGCAGCCTCTCATTTAATATGGCAGTTTTGAAAATAAGCTTGAGGCTGCTACTATATTTGTATTACACCAGTTTATTGTATAACTTTATTAAAGAGTAACAAAATAATGGAGCCTGGTGATCATCAAGAAAAGAGTCAGCAGATATATTGGGCTTCATAAGGAGAATAAAATTTAGGGCTTACATAAAATATCCCGTTCATATTGTTTACAACTGTCAATATAACATTGTTAATTATAGTGCAGTCTTTACACTTCATTTGATTTGTATTTCTCTAGTTCTTTGCTAAACACAATTCCTAGATGTGATGGCAAAGCTTTATTTTGGTGAATGATATAATTTTTCATTAGCTTATTCTAAACTATAGGAATAAAGTGGACTTTTGAAGTTTTATTTATTTATAAATAAATTCTATTTATTTATATTTATCAAATTTAGAAACTGACTAACTTGGTCACAGAGCGATTTTGTTAGGAGCACTTTTTTATGCAAAAATGACGGGTGGGGTTTGATTTTGCTTACCCAAGAGGATTCCAAGCCCTCGTTTGTCATGTTTCCGTACCTTTATGTGACCAACTAGCTCAACTATTTTTCCAAACCCTTCATACAAAATTGCCTTCATATAAAATTTAATCAAATTCTTGATTGTTTTAACTTAATACTTTCTACAACAGTTCTCCCATTCTGGTATATAGCATTATAAGGGCCAGAATTCACATGCTGTCATGATTATGGGAATTGTAATTCAATATATGTAAAAGTAATGTGAAGCATCAAGTCATTAATCATAGTTTATAAATAGTGAATGGAATTGCATGAATCAGATGAGCAATGTAGTTCAGCACTATGAATGAATTCAATCCTTAACTAGTAACAATCCTCAATGATTTTAGGTAAGAGTCCTTCCCAGTACCAATTTCAGCTGAAGAACCATGAGTACTACAAAATGGAATGAGAGAAAAGTTAAGCTAATACATTTAGCAAAATGTAATGAATGGAGAATTAAATAACTAAGAATTACTGGAGAATAGGTTAAAAGGAATTCACTGTTAAAATAGTTATCTGAGTTAGTTTTCCTAAAGCCAAAAGACATCAACAATCCTCAGGATGGTCTGAGTTATTGTGGGCTTTTCCTGGCTTCATTTTAGCGAAGACATAATGATTAAATACCATGGAAAGTCAATGAATTTTAGTAATAATTTAAAGTGCTACGAGACTAATTACATACTTGGAAGTAGTGGTATTTTTATTTTTCATGAAATGCAGTTTCTGATCCAATTCTCATAGAACTAGCATATAATAGAACTCTACTCACAGCTTTTAGCTGTCACCCTGATTTGCATGGAGTGAAACAGTGTTAGGTTTTCTAAAATACTAAAATTCTAGGAAGTCCATTGAAATTCTGAAAAATGAGTCAATGCACAGATAATTCTAGCATTTTATTTTTAACAAATAGCTTTAACCACATTATTTTATTACTATAACAAAAAACTAACATTACATCATTATTAAATAGCTTTAACATTACTTAAAACTGTGTAGAAAAGATCTGAATAGCCTAGCTTCTCTTTCCTTTCTTCCTTGAGCAACATTTTCCCCAAGTCAGCTGAAATAAAATGTCATTTGGTGCTGAAAAACTGCTAAAGAGACAGAGATTTAGCTTTCTGTAAAGCTATAAATGTTCAGTCACAATTTTTTAAGTGGAAACTATAAAGATACTCAAATATCCAGCTATTCCTGATCATTTGCCAACATCTATCTATATACTAACAAGCTCATCCTCATTCTGGATATAAACCCCTAGATTCTATTGTGAATACCTCTTAGGCCACTTTCCAATTAATTATATTGCAATGCCAGATTCTCCCTATACTGACTTTCCTTATTCTGGTACTTTCAAATGTGTGAGGACCACAACTCCAGAATTCCAATTTAGTATGGAAACCACAGAGTAAAAAAGACTGCTGTAAGCTCTGACTGCTCTTGACTTGCACTTCTTTGTCACTCCACTAATATATACTGCTCACAAAAATAAAGGGAACGCAAACCCCTTCAGTTCCATGGTAAAATGTTCCCTTTATTTTTTTGAGCAGTATATGTTTTTGTATTTTTAATTACATTATGGCAATAATCTCAAATAACATGAATATAGGAGCTCAATATGATTATATTCCTGATTACAATCATATGTTTGCAATATAAGCAATTAATTTGCAAATCTGTCATGCAAGTTATGGAGCCTTATCAGAACTGTAAGGAACCAGGGGTGGGGTGGGGTGGGGACCCAGCACTTCCCCATCCACAGTATAACCTGTTCATTTTCCAATCAAGAAAGGTAATACACAGTGTGTGCAGATGGCACAGGGTGGAGTGAAACACTGTAAAAGAAACACGATATTTTTAATAAAAAAGTCTAAATAGGTTTAACTAGAGAGATATTTTATTTTCCAGATTATCAGAATGTTATCACGGAGTTTCTGTTGGTATCTTCAATAACATTTTGTTGCTCTTGTTCCACAAACCACCTCCTCCCTCCTCATCTATCCTTATTTCCAGATGGAGCAATATAAAGAGCACAAGGAACTGTGAAAATCAGATACTACGTTGATTACCATTTAGAAGGTGAAACCAACAGCACAGTATTTCTTGATTATTAGGACAGCTTGGCTAAGCATGCTAAGGCTGAATACTTAGAAATATTGGAAAAAAATGAAAAACAACAACCACCAAGAAGTCACTGGAAAAGGCAGAAGCATAATCTTTTTGCAAACTATGTTTGCAAGTCTTATGTTCCAAAGCCAGCAAGGCTGGCAGCAATGTTCATGAAATAACTGATAATCCTCCAGAATATCTTACTTTAGAACTGGGGTTTAAATAATCTTCAGGCATTTTTAATAAGGCTTGGTTCGTGCAAAGTTGATCCAAAAATAAACTTGGAAGATTAGCTTACTCGTTCTGTACATATCTTTCTGTTCCAGGATGTCCCATTTCAACAGAGCATTAGGAGAAGGAGATTTGAGAAAATTACTGAAAATTTACCGCACAGAGATTTCAATGGCAGTGGATGAT